CATTTTTTATGATTTGGACACATGTCTTTGTTTGGATCTACATGTTTAATTTCACATATTTATACAATGATCAAGCAATTGGTCCCCCCCCTTGCTGGGCCTTACAAAGATTGATTTCGATGGGTGCTCGTTGGGTAACCTGGGCCGGAAGGAGTGGGTGGTGTCTTTTGCGATCACCAAGGCAACTTACTTGCTTCATTTTCCAAGAATATTGGTCATGCGGACTACTAATTCACTGAGTCAATGACACTCCTCATTGGCCTCAAGCTCTTCGACCCCTCGTGTCCTCTACCTCTCATAGTGGAGGGAGATGCACAAAATATTATCTCTTGGGCTGTGGGTTCTATGTCTTGCCCCTCGTACTTGGCTTTGATTTATGATGAGATAAATTACATTTGCAACGATATGGCCGTCTCATGGACGCATACCTGACGGGAGTCCAACGCCCTAGCGGATCAATTGGCTAAAGATGGAGCGTCATCCACTAGCTCGGGTCCTTGGAAGACTGTTTTTTGGTTTCCTTTTTCCATCCTACTTGTAATGGATAGATATATTAGTCCTCTTTTGGTTTCCGCCTTTACTACTTTGGGGTTTCTGGCTTTTAGGCCCCAACCATTTTTTGTATAGGGCTACCCCCCGGGGGGTAGTCCATTCTTTTGGTGAGAGGCCCATCTTGTGGAACCCCTCTGCTTACCCATGTACTTATTACTTTTCAATACAACAATTAACTTTATAAAAAAAAAAGAGGATCAAGTCAATGCCCCCTCTCGTTTTATTATCATACACCTTAGCTTATTGCCAATGCCATGGTTAGAGTACTCCAATTTACTACAACAATAGAATTTAGTAATATTATAAATTGCTTACTATGATATTAAACTGTAGTTTCTTAACACTATAATTCTAGTAAACCACGACCATAGATTAACATATTCTAAAGAAATAAATCTATAAGACCAAGGAGAGGAGCAACAGTTCAATTAATAGTATAGCTCTTGGAGAGATCCTACAAGCATGTAGACTGAAATCCCATTTTATAGGGAGCGAGATCCCTATTTCTCTAAACCCAGCTCCTTCTATGATCCCTTAGAGAAACCGCAAGATCGAGTTCCTATGGTGGGACCGTGGCCTTAACCTCAAGGTTCTTGCAACTATGTGCGATCGTATTGATGTAGGAATCTGAATTCCAGTTGGGTTGAAACTCGATTCCCTGGAGGTTGGTATATTGATTGCACGTGGATTGAACCTCAATTCCAAACTGGTATAATCTCGATTCCAATTGAGTTGAAATTCGATTCGAAAGAAGTAGGAATCTCGATTCCATTTGGGTTGGAACTCGATTTTGATTTCGATAAACTAGGTTAATCTTGTTTCTTGGAATTCCCCATGTATGGACAACGATTTGGCGATAAGAATCTTTCAACCACCTGTGATTCTGGGATTCCAATTCCAAAATTGATTAGGAATCTCAGTCATTTCCAACAACTATGTTTAAACACAAAAGTGTAAATTGCACAATGGTAGACCTTATCTTTTTAAGTCAAGCGGTCTAGGTTTCAATTCTTAGAAGCACTGTTTTTGGCTCTCGGGAAAGGATACCTCGTGTGAGAAATATAGACAAAACTTGTTTGTAGTGCTGATATTTGTGACATGCGTATCATCAAGTCTGACATGTATGGACGATGTGTCCCACTTATATTGGGAGTGTCAATGTTTGTCAAGTGTCGACATGTGACACTGAACCAAAAGCAAGGTTTCTAACACTCATACTGTGTTCGGCAAATATAGGTGGGTTAGTTGGATTTTTCGAATATCGTTCAGACATGGATTCTTGTATCCGTGTCCCTGTAACATAGTTTGGTTGAGAAATGGTCATTCTTCTCATAGTTTCCAAATTTTTTAGTCCACTCTGAAGCTGGGGATAAACATTTCCTCTAAATGTCAAGGTTCTCGAATTCAACAACGTTTCTCCAAAATCGAGGCACAAGATATTACCCTCTACTAGTCTCACATATTAACCCTAGATACAATTAACGCATTAGCGACAATGTTACATGGATACCGGCATGAGTGTCAATATCTAGTATGTATTGGGGTGTCTAGTACGTGGGGCCAAAAAGCTAGTAACTGTTTGATACGTCTATACAGTAAACTGATTTATAGTTTATATAATATAAGTATAGATATTTAGACATCTGCTTTATAGTTTTCGCTTTGTTAGATTGGACCACTTCTTATACTCAACGTGTAAAGTTCCATCCCCTTGGATTGGATTTTGTGATTTGTATATTGAATACCATTTTATAATATATATAACGGGTTTTTATATATCTTTTATGCATAGCTATGACTCACAAGTTGGTATGACTACGCTATATTCTTGCATCACGTTTGAGGTTCAAACACGAGCTATGATTTTTATCACAACATGCATTTATGTTAATAGAAAAGGCTTGAGCTCTTAAAAACAGAAATTTTGAGGATTGGAACCTTGGACCTTACAAAGTGGAACTAGAACATTTATGCGTCCACATGGGCTTTATGACTTTATGATAGAAATGGATGACACTTTAATAAAAATTGTCAGTACATATTCGAAAGGTGATGATGTCTCAGACACGTATGGTCAAGTGTCGGCCATGCGTCTGTGTGTGTTGACACACGACACCAAGCCACAGGCAACGTGTCTAGGTAACATTGTTTTAGAGGATGATATTGCTGAACTAGACTAATGGTTGTGAAGAAAAATTACATCATACCCTATATGTGTTGGGAAGGGAATTTGATCCTCAACATTGATTTTTGAATCCAATTTCTCCTAGAAATCCCAAACAACTCAAGAAATATCACTTCGCCCTGTATTGTATGGCCTGGAATATCTCCTTGGGAGACTTATCCTCCTAGAAACTTATGCTCCAATCTACTCTTTTGCTGCCACGCTTTACATGTGCATTTGGCATCCCTATTCATATTCATACGGTACTGATCTAATGTTTGATTATTCTCTTTGGATACTGAAAAATATAAAATTTTGCTTGTACTTTTCCATTCCTTTCCTTTAAGTGTTGCATAACCTTTTCTTCATATGTCCTTGTACCCTTTGGCTTGATCACTAGAAATGTTTTGGTCTGCATTCATTAACTTGTTTAGTTCTTCAAATCGTAATGATATCTCAACTTTATTGGTAGGCACCCAGACTAAACCTTTCTTTCTTCTTACTGAACATTTTTTTGATGAACAATAGTTCAACAGAAGCAACATCACCAAGGAGATCTCGATCCGCAATTTTCTGATGGTCATAGAAATTAGATAATCAGATGATAACCTAGTCGACCTTTTATCGTCACTAACCAATAAGATTCCTCAGTGAACCAACAGAAACGTTTTCCCATCAATCTGCGTTTAGGTGTCAAATCCATGTACTACTGCGACCCTACTCCCATGGTCAGCAATAATTCAGAAGTACGTATTGTTATCTAGATTACCTGCGAAATGTTAATTTTGCCTAAAGTAGATACTGTCATGATTGGTGAGGTATGGAGACATGGTAATTTTATGGCATGTGGCATTAATAGATTATCCCTTTGTGAACATAGTGGCCAGTGTTGCTTGTCCCAAGAAATAGTGGTTTTTGGTTAGTTTGGTTGAAAGTTGTTGAGGTATAGGCCTGGAAGCATGATTCTTGGGGTGTGTAACCTCTATGATCGTTCATGTTTTATTCGCTCTTCAAATTTCAGTTCTCCTTATACTTGTTGAATACTAGATGTTCATGAACTGCCTCATGTGAACTCTCCCACAGGATGTGATGAGTGTACTCCGTATGACCCTAATGCTTTTCTTACTCCGTCTCATAGGTGTTGGGTTCAAGAGGGGGAATGATACTGGGATTGGGATCGGGAGCGAGGGATCGTGAAATGCTAGAAGATCCCTATGGTTGGGAACTCTATTTGTACAATGCATATCAGGGATCGAGATTCCAACCTTTTGGGGATCTTGATTCTGACCTTTTGGGATCTTGATTCCAACTCTTTGGGGATCTTGTTATCAAACCTTAAAGTGTATGACAATCTCAGATTATGTGTACTCTTTGAAGTAGGGATCTCATTATTGATAACAAGCAAGCAATAGATGTGTTGCTAGTTGGCTATAAACAAAGAAAATCAGCAGTTTGGTTGTTGTCTTAGTCTTTAAGGTTGGGATTGAGATCCCTAACAACGGGAATCGGGATCCCTATCAGTGGGGTTCTAGATCCCAAAATTTAAAAATCGAGATCCCTAAGTGATCCGTTCCGGGAGTGATTGAATCGCGATTCTAGAAGGGATCACCTACCAAAGTAGGAGATCCCGATAACTACGCTTCGTCTGTAGATTTCCTTCCATAAGTATAGCAGAAAGTAATGATCGTCAAACTCATAAGTACATTTAACATTTTACTTGCCCACAAGGATGTAGAATCTGTGGCCTCAATGAGGTTCAAACTGATAGCTTTCCAAAGGCTAGAGATCTGTCAACTCAAATACACTTACTTTTGTTATGTGCAGTTAGCTCGGCATATGTTGAGCTCCTTGAGTAGCACAATTAGCCACGTTCTTCGGGCTTCTAAAACTTGAATGAGTGGAACTCACGAGTTTTTCAAGCATTTTTCTGAGAGCATGGACTTTCTTGAGGTGTCCAAAAACTTTTTACGGAATCAGGTCATGGAAGGTATCTGGAAATTAAAACACGAAACATCAGTGTTTGGGATTTCTTTCTAAATGTCTCCATTTTCTGCTTTTCTGATCTTGGAATTTGCTGTATGCAGCTCATGAATTGAACAATGTAGCAAGTACTCTTAGCATATCATACTATTTTTGTTCCCTTTCAAGTTCTTTCTTTGCAGTACGTTATGGTAATAAGCTGTTTTCTATGTCAAGTGCAACTAATTTCAACTAATTTCTTAATGGAGAGTTCTCCTTTGTACTAACACTCTGGGTAATTTTTTTTATAACCATCACTTTTCAGATTTGTATGGTGATTGATTTGACAAATACTGCTCGGTACTATGACCCATCAGATTGGAAGAAGCAAGGTATTAAATATTGCAAGGTGAGATTGCAAATTGTATCATAATTAGTTAGTTTGTTTTGCCCTTAATTTTTTATTTTTCATTATTTTTAAAATATTTTCATTCAAACTTTACAATTTGCTATAGATAGCTTGCAAGGGACGAGATGCTGTACCTGACAACGTTTCTGTCAATTGTTTTGTCCATGAGGTGAGTTTTTTAAGCAAACCATTTATTATTGTACAAATCAATTTAACTGGCTGTCTGTATGTTATTTCCAGGGCTAGGGCTATTCTTTGATGTTTTGTTCTCCATATAGTAGCTCTTAATAGTGGCTAGATTCAATTATACTGCATGCCAATATGTTTTGATTTATACTATTTAGTAGATCCATGAAATAAAAAGGCATTCAAAATTTACTTTTATGTTGGTTGATTTTCTGCAACAGATGAATCTGCTTATGGCTAAAATGAATTTCTTGGTTGAGATTGTCATCTATCAAATTGAATATACCTGAAAAGGGTTTTTTTCTTTTCAATTAGATCTTCTAATCCGTAGTAGATTCTATTAAAAGTTCACTCACAATATTTTCGTGCAGAGATTCTTGTCTGATTCTCCATGTTTATTTATTTATTTTATATCTGAGGTCGTTATTGATGATTGGATATTGATGTGTGAAGGCAATTCCCTTGACTTAGCTCTCTTTGAGCTTAACAGGAAGCTGTTACTGGAATAGCAGTATTGAAGGTTTTGTGGCTTGATAGGCATCTTGGAGCTTCCAGTTAATGTTTTCATGGTTGATATGGTGATATCCCTTAGAAAGCAAATAGTTTATGTTGGTAGAGGTTGCCATGGAGGAATGCTAGACTTTTGGATTTTTTTGCTTTCTTTTTTTCTTGGGGGAGGAGGGGGGGGTAGTCTTTTGAGTTTGGCCTTGAACTTATCCAGCACACTTGTTCTGATAATGCAAGGATGACGCAAAACATGACATCATCAGTGACGTAGGTCAATATGTAAGCGCTGATGTCATCACTAACACCTCACTGGCCACAATAAATGCCACCAAGATGACTCATCGATTGCATTAATGGAGATCAGGACACATCATCAGGTTGACTTTATGGTACCCTGACACCTCAACCACCGCAATCAATGCTACTTGGACACCACATCTCATTTTCCTGGACACGTCACTACTTTTTGCAGGCCACGCCAGTACCTTTGTACCCTCCACATTAATCGTGCAACCAGCCCATTTATTGTGGAATTTAAACAGTTAGTAAACTTTTGGAGTTCGCCTTCTATAAATAGGGGCTCAGTTCTTTTGTTTTAAGTATCAAAAATCAGAGCTTCACTTTGAGTTCGAGCCTTAGGGTTTTAGTTTTAATTTTCTGTTTTGCTATATAAGCTTTGTATTCAGTTCCTCTGCTTCTTCATTTTCTTCTGCATGACTTGTCTTGTCCAAATTCTCCTTCTTTCTCATCTTCATATCTCTTTCGAAACTGGGCTTGTTTCCTAATATATGGTTTTTCTATGCCTGATCTAATTCTTCATAATATTGTTTGGAATATCAGGGTTTCTAAAAATGCTAGAAACTTGTTTAGTTTCTACAGGGAAGTTTTGATGAAAGTCTTTTTGTAATTTCAAAACTTTTTCGTAAGAAAAGATTTTCTGTATTTTGGGTTTGAGCAATTTGGTTATTCACTCGAAACCAATCGTTGTCCTCATTGTTTTTGAGTTGGCGCTTCCTTTGTCGATTGATCCTTGTTTAGGATAGACTGATCCTTGTTTAGGATTTCCTTTGTCGACTGATCCTTGTTTAGAAGTTTGTCTCTGTCTGTTGATAAATCATTGATTAGGATTGTCTCTCTGTCCATCCTGCCTGCTCAGAACGTTAGCTAATACATTGTTAGAACCGTTGATGAACTCAGCAGTGAAGTTGTATATCTGTAAAAAGTTCATACATCTTGTGTGTCGAGGGTTTCCACCCACTTTTTATTGGACAGAAAGTCTTTGATAGCTTTGTTATCTGTTTTGATAACAAAATTATTTGGCGCAAGGTATATGTGAAAGGTTTTTACTCCACGTATAACTGCCAGTAATTCTTTTTCGTAGTTAATTTAATTCCTTTCGTTTGGTTTAAACTTACTGGAACTATATCCACATACGGGCTCTTTACCTTCAATAACAACCTTTAAGATGGCTCCCCAAATTTCATCTGAGGCGTTGGTCTCAAGAATTAGTTCATCTCCTTGTTTAGGAAAATAAATCGAAGGAATATTTTTCAATTCTTCTTTGATACGTTTGATAGTGTTTGTGTCATCCGTATTCCAAGAAAATTCTGTATCCTTTTTCTATTTTTCCAAAAGAGGTCTCTCCTTTTTAGAAAAGTTTGGAATAAAATTTTTCCCATAGTTAAGGATACCTAAGAAGCTCTGCAGATGTTTTTTGTCTACTAGCTCATTCGGAAAATTCCAAATTTTAGAAATGACATGTTCCTAGAGTCTTGTACCTCTTTGGTCTAAGATGATGCCTAGAAATTCGATTGAGGATTTCTCAATCTCCATTTTCTTGGGATTTAAAATGATTCCATGCTCAATAAATTTTTTTGGAAATTATTTTGAGATGATTTTGGTGTTCCTCTATGATTTTAGAAAACACTAAAATGTCATCTATGTATACAACACAAAAGTCTTCTCAATCTAAAAAATACCATTCATCCATCTTTGAAATATTTGCGGTGCTTTGCAGAGTCCGAATGGCTTTACTTTCCATTGGTAATGGCTGTATGGAGCACTATAAGCGGTTAGTGGTCTGGATTCTTTTGTTAGCACGATTTGCCAGAATCCCGACTTGCAGTCAAGTTTACTGAAATATTTTGCTCCTTTGGTTTGATGTATTAATACATCTTTTTTGGGTATAAAATATCCATCAAACCCAATGTTTTGGTTAAGCCTTTGATAGTTGACTATCATCCTGGCTTTACCTCTTTTTTCTTCATTATGGTTTCTTACCATGAATGCAGGATTAGAATGAGGACTTCTTGTTGGTTCAATCAAGTCTTTTTCTAGTAGTTCTTTTAACTGAATAACAAACTTGTCTATATACTTTTTGAGATAGACCATGGGTTTTACTCTGATGATCCTGTTTGGATCAGAGAGTTTTACGCTACAATATCTTGGACTTTTGGACCATAATTTCAATGGGTTTTCAGAGAAATTAGGTTCAAGCATTTTGTAAATCCAATGGGTAGCATCTAACTCTTTAAAAAAGTTATTTTTGATTTTTTGAAATTTTTGTATGGTTTCTCCCCGTTTTTGAGGTGAGAATCCAAACTGACATCTATACTTATGTTTTATAAGTATAGGTATATCAACTTTTTCTCCTTTTTGAGTTAAAGTTATTTTGTCTTAAAAAATTTCAATTGGGTAATAATTTTGCAAAAAGTTGTTTCCCAAAATAAAATCTCCATGCATAAATGGAAAACATAGTATCTTTGGGATGGAAAATTTTATTTCCTAGCCAGATAGCAATGTTTTTGGCTTTATACTCTATGAGAGTGTTGTTCCCATCAATGCCGGTTGCATGTAATGGGCTTTTCCCATTTTTCTAATGGTAGTGCTGTTGGGCAACAGGCCCATGTGGTAGCTCCTGTGTCAACCAGAATATCAAGGCGATATGGTTTATAACCTTGAAAATTAAATTCATCCAAAACAAACAAATATTTTTTCCTGTTTGGGTTATGGGAGAAGATTATTTCTTCCACATCTTGAAGTTCAACTTTTGAAAAGAAAAACAGTGTTCTGAAGTTCTTCTTTTTCTTCATCTTTTGTATTACTGGTGTTTCCAGTTTCAAAAGTGCTTCACTGTCTGGGAAAAATTGGTATTGAGATGTTTTTGAGACCAATTGGTTTCTTTCTAAAGATAAATCTTTTGGTTCAGAAAATCGTGGTGCAGGACTGTTTGATATTGATTGACTCAAACTTTTGGTTAAAGTTCTCAGGTCAGAAAAATAAATTTTTTTTCCAGATGCTTGAAAGGTTAGTGGCTGTAAATCATGGTTGTAATTTTCTTCAGAAAAGCTATCAACCAACCAATTTTTGGGAATTTCTAAATCCTTCCAGTTGTTAAACTGGGGTTGGATTTCGTTATCAAAATTTCGTGGTTTGAAGATTTCAACAAATCTGTTATCAATATTTTTTGTTGAAGTTTTAGTTTCGCGTGTAAGTTTATGGATGGCTTTCCACTCTATTGCAAGGTCGAAACTGTTCTTTATACCATTGCTTTTGGTCTGAATCAAAATTCTCACACTATCCTGGATGTTTTTATCATGGATAGAAATGAAATAATTTGGTTTTATTTTAAACCAATTTTTTCCAGTGACAAGATTAGATTGAATGCCTCCTTTTATTGCTTTACTAGGGTTATTGAATCTTTTGTCTAAAACAACAAGGATTGGTGTATCAATTCCTTGTCTGAAAAGTGCAGTGATTTCAATCAAAATGACGCCTATGTGCATGTATCTCGGCCTTAGAAATTTTTTGATCATTTTGGAAATCTTGTTTTTATCAAAAATAGGAATTTCGACAGATCCATTTTCAGTTGCTCTTGCACTGGTATTTCCACTGAAGCGCTCAAAATGTTAGATATTCCGAAATTGGAACCTCGACATCTTGTAGATTTCTTCCCTTTTGAGATTTTTCAATTTCTCAATTTTTTCTTCATCGATGAAGAATCCTTCTTGAATTACATCACCGAGTTTTAAAACTTGTTAAGAAATTTCAGAATTGTTTTTTGAGTTTTCTTCTAAATGCATCATGAAAACATATTCTCTTCTTCCTCTGACTCGCTGTCAGATTCAGAGACTACTTCAAATTCAATTTCATCTTCAGAGATTTCTTCTCCAAAGCAGATTTCAAAATTGTTTACATCAAGCTTTTTGATCATCTTTTTGTCATTTTTCCCTTTTTGGGGACAATTAGGTGCTATGTGACCTTCTACTTTGCAGATGTAGCAACGACATGATTTCTTTGGTTTGCTGTTATTTTTGTTAACAACGTACTTCTTATTGAATTTCTTACCCTTTTTCCACTTTTTCTAACGAAATTTTTTATTTTTGAAAAATTTCTTTTTCTTTCCTTTTGCATCACACCCAAATTCTAAATTGTTTTTTTAGAAGTTTGGTGCAGTCATCTATGCTAAGTCCTTTTTTGACTTGTTTGGCTGCTTTTATCTCGATGCAATGGTTTTTTATTATCGAGAACACAAATCTGATCCTATTTCCAAGAGTATCTACTGATGTGTTATCAGTAACATACTTGTCATATTTTTCGGTGCAAATTTCATCCCATGGAAACGGTAATTTGTTAACAAACTGTTTTTTCCAAAAATCAGATTTGTTTTCATCCAACATTTGGTACCATTTTTGAAATTCTTTGGCAAAGGGTTCAAAACTTTGGATTTTGCAAAGTTTTAGCTTGGTGAGTGAATAATCCGAGTCTTATTTTAGATTCAGATCAAAAGCAGTGCCACAAAATTCTTCTCTTAGAAGTTTTGTTACTTCTTTCAAAACATCTTCTTTTTTCTTATCAAAGAGTTGTGCTTTTGTAAGTTTTCCTTTTAGTGAATCCTCCCACTTTTGAAGGAACTGTAAAACATCACTTTGCAGTGTGCTCACAATAGGGTCGAAAAATTTATCAGTGGTCCATGCATGATTGTGTGCTATAACAATAGTCATGGACTGTGCCCATTCACTAATAACTTGATTGTATTCAGAGCAGGGAACATTTTTGATATCTAAGTACGTTCCAGATAATGAAACATGTTGTTTGTTTAGATCTTCTTGTCTATTATTTACAGTGGGAATTGGTTTTTCAGAGGCTAGATGTTTGAGGTTTTTTCTCAGTAGTCTGACAGAAGTCTTCTTTGTTAGATGCCTCTTCTTCTTTTTGACAATTTTGAAAATTTTCTTTTTGAAAACTTCTTTGATAGTCTTCCCATTCTTGGGCTGAATCCCTTTGGGTTTCGGGGTCAGAATCCAAGTGATCTTGCTCTTCAACCTTTCTTTTTCCTTTTGGTTCTGAAGTTGGTTTTTCAGCTTTTTCTTCTGAATCTAATTCTGTATTTGACTCGATTTTACTTTGAAAACCGAAAAAGACTCATCTGCATCTATGTTTAAGATGAGATGGTAATTGTTTTTGATCATGAGTTTTTCATTTTCAAAAAACAATTCTTGCATACTTTTTTGATGCTTAGATCTCTCTTTAAAATCAGTTTCTTTGATATACCGGGATTTCCAATATTCAAGGATGTCCTTTATAGCTTTGAAATCATTATACTCTTCTTCTAGAGTTAGGATTTCAGTCCCAAAGTAGAGTGACGTACGTGGTTCATAAGCCTCTTTGAAAAAATTATTTTCATTTAAAAACTGTTCAAAATTTTTTAGTAAAATTTTTGACTCAAGGTTTAGGTCTATACTATTATAGTTCCTAGATTATCTATTTTAGTTTCTACCTTAGAATCTTTTTTGAAATTTTTTGTTGATTTTTTGAAATATTTTTAAACCAGTGATTGCAAAAATCAAAAAGTCCATTAACACTCCTATTAAGATTTGAAATATCTTTTTCTTCGTTTTTATCTGAATGATATAAATGCTCAAAATTATTTTGATCTAATTTATTTTCTTTAGCTAAGCAGTCTATTTCTCCCATGTTGTTTTTCTTGGCACCTAAGGACCTTCTGTGATAAAAAGTTTCTTTTGAATTAAAACGGCCTAAACGCACTCCAGGCTAAACGGCCTTACAGTTCGAGAAACCACACACAGTCGTATGGGTTTTAGAAAAACGTAAAGAAATAAAATTCGCCTTGCTTAAGAAATAATTTAAATCAAATTAAAACTGAATATAAACATCATAAAGATAAATAAAAGCAAAGAAATTTAAATCTTACCAGAAGAGCTGGCAAACTTCACTTCATATATTTTAACTGCAACTACAAGCTCTGAGCATAAGGCTTGATAACTGATACCAGTTGCAATAGTTGCATGATTCTTTAAGTTTTTTTACAATTGCAAGCCCCTCTTTTTTCTTTTATGTTTTTCTATTAGAGACCTTAGGTTAAGATTCTTCTGATTTGCGTGTTAAAGCCATGGAATTTTGTCGAGGGGTTAGATCCTTGAGGTTGAGGCTGCATTTGAGAAGTCATCTGTTACAATCACCTATTGTCATTACAGTTCAAAGTCAACCTTGGATGTCGATTTTCCCTTGCAAACCTTCACCGCCTGCCCTATGCACATAAAAAGGAAACTTCGACACATAAGGTTATTGTGGGGTTCTTAATGGATTATAATAATATGAAATTATGAAAGAAATAAGGGGTCAAAATATTAATGATATTCTTATAAAGATGGTGCACATTCTTGATGATGGAAAAGTTGTTTTCTCACTCGGAAGAGATTGAACTTGCTGGCTGAAGGATTTGCTATGGATTTCTTTTTGATTTCTTTGACTTCCAAATAGGTATTTGTCTTTCTTCATGTTTTTCATAATATAGGGGGATTAAAATTCAGCCTTGAATTCACTTTGAATACATATATCTCCGATGTGGAATGAAAATTAATGATTCTATGTCTACAATCACCCCTATTTATTGTGTACATGAGATCCTTAGGAAGGCCTGAATTTAAATGCTGGAACTAAGGGTATCATTCCTGCTCCCAAACTTTTTGCACACTGATTAAATGATTTATTTCGTAAAATCTCCTAATTCGCTGCCAGACATCGCCTAGCCATTTCTTATAACTACTCAATGGAATATGAGATGTTGACTTGATAATATCCATGGCACATGGTTGGCAAATAATTTACCAAGCAGTCCTAGCTAATGTCGCTTGGCAATCAATCACTAAACGATTCTTTTTGGAAAAAGTCTGTCGTCCATTCTACTCTTGAGAATATGCCCTAGGCATTTATGATAATTTTTTTTCTTTGACGTGTTAACACTGGCAATGGAGTTTGGGACGTTCTGTTGAGGCACCTGCCCCCCAACCACCGATGCCCTGAATCTTGGACCCCGATTGGTGAATCTTGTTGGTTCATTATTTCCTTTTGGTGGTGAACCCATGGAACCTTAGTTAGTGCCCATGTTGATCCTAGTAAGTACCTATGTGGTGGGTTGGTCGCAATCTTAATTTGTTAGCAGCAGGTTCTCACTTCACTTGCTTGCTTGCTCATAGACAACTATTTTTCTTTGGACTACCAGGGTGGGGATAAATTTTTATTTATGCTCTTCAGGTCAAGGTGATTGTTCTAATGTGATAGGTAGTTCAAAGGACATCCTGTGTACCCATGGTATATGAAACGTTGTTCTTCTTCTGATAAATTTTTATTTATGCTCTTCTGATCAAGGTGATTGATCTAATGTGATTGGTAGTTCAAAGGATATATATCCTGTGTACCCATGGTTTATGAAACTTTTGTTCTTGAAGATAATCTTTCGACTGCTAAGTTAGGTTTGTTAACTTTAATATTGAATGCTGGCATACCAATGTAGTCTTTGTGATATGTTGGCTGGACCTCGATGACTTGTTAGATTTTAACTCACTGGTTTTGGGCTGTTTTGTCCTTCTATGAGTTTTGAAGTCTTGAATATTCCCTTTGCTATCATTGTTGACATGACTAAATGCAGTATTATCGATTGTGATGTCTATATAAGGTGGTAAGTTTCTCATGCTTTGGATATGAATGTCTCGTTGCGTTTTAGCTACCTATTACGAGTAGCAGTACTGTAGAAGGCTCTTCAGTTCTTTTCGTTAATACGTTCTATGATGACTATAGGTTCAATATTTAATTGTAATATAAATTTTACAGGACTTTTGCCAACCTTCTGTTCGATCTTTTCTTTTTCCTATTTATTGGAAGTAAGAAATAGAAGAAATCGATGAAGATACTGGTTGGTGACGATTCTGTTACTGCTGTTTGAATATAATGGATATAATCTTACTTTGATTAACTTTCATAATTAGATGTTGTTATCTTCCTGTTTCTTCTAGTAAAGTACTTTCATACCTTTCGATTTGTATGATGGATTCTGTAATATCACTTCATCGATAATGAAGTTCACATTTTATGTTTAGGTACTACAATTTATGGAGCGCCACAAGGGGAGCAATAGGAAGTGTGCTCTTGTTCATTGTACTCATGGTTACAATCGGACAGGGTTCATGATTGTTAATTACCTTGTTCGGTCACATGGATATTCAGTTACAGATGTATGTCTCATTGGCAAGTCATTTGTTTTTTGTGTTGCAAAATTATGCACCTGCTACTGATTTTCCTCCGTCTGGCTTTTAGATTTATAAATCTAACCATACTTCGTTCTTTGCTTGGTAGGCACTGGATGTTTTTGCTGATGCACGCCCTCCTGGAATATATAAACCAGACTATATTGATGCCTTGTTCTCATTTTATCATGAAAGAAGGCCTAAAATATTGACATGCCCTCCAACACCAGAGTGGAAAAGGCCTTCTGAGCTTGATCTTAATGGTGAAGCAGTGTCCGACAGGGAGGACGATGGTGTGAAAGTATGTATTGAAACTACTATCATTTACCTGTATGAATTTCCATCGTCTACATTTCGTTGTAACCACTTTTTCCAGTCACCGGTCTTTGATTTGTATGCATGATTTGGCTTTGTGTGATGGTAGAGCATGAGTTTTAAATTCTTTGATATATTCTAGTAAGTTACTGTAGGAAGGTGAATGGTTCTTTTACTAAGAATAACTAGTCATCAATGCAAGGTTCCCTATTCTTTAGAGTCAACAGTGGCCGCTCTTTCCCATGATTGGGTGTATTTGTTACACTTAAATTACGGACTTGGTATTAAAAACATGTTCTGCATGCGGAAGCCTGAACAAGTAGCAGCGTTCTCATTATTTAGCTCGGCACTTGAGGCCAAATTACTGAAATGCCCCCTCATTCTGGGTTCGCAATCCTGAATAGGCTCAATCTAGTCATTCTTTAATGTAGTTTTTCAGGAGGCACCTGAATGAAGCATAGAAAGTAAACCATACTAATGTTAAATGAAATAATTTGACTGTCGTAATGATTTCATAAGGTGGTTTGGCCATTTAAATGATATTCTCTAAAAAAATTATAAGAATCTGTGTTGCCAATCTATAAAGAATTGCATTTATTATAAGATCTAAAGTTTAAGCATTCAGACTGATGATCCTACATCAAAATAAATTTATGCCTTATTTTTGGATTAATTTGATAAATACAAGAGTGAATTTAGCATAATTGATTTGAAAATATTTTACTCATATAAAGTGTTAAATATATATATTTTTTTTTCGGTTTTTTTTGATTTTTTCTATATTGTTAAAGTTTAACTGTAATGGTTTTATTTATTCAAATCAAGACGTTATTTTAATTTTTTAATATCCATGTCATGGCGTGTGGAAAAACCTTGACCTGAAGAAGGATATTGGATTTGTCTTTCCTGAGTGGACCTTAAATCACATAGATCATTGCTGGTTATATACAAAAAATATTTTTTGCTCTTTTCAAATCCTCATATTTCAGAACTTATGAAGTGTTGAAGGCATGCAATAGTTGCAGTGCATTTTGGGTTATTTGGTAGAAATATAACTCCTAATTGAGAGGAGTTTGCCCCATAGTTACTGGATGGTGGGTGATCCTGGAAGCCCGTTCTTAAAAGGGATCTTCTATGGATCACATTTTTTAGAATTTCAGATCATGTTCCCTAGAGCACAAGGATCGAGTTCCTTAGACTTAATATTGTGTGGACATCAAATTCCAGCCACCTCAAGTCCGCAGTTTTTCCAGTTGATGTAGTCGTGGGAGGACAAGGCACG